TTGGATTGCTTCCTTTAGTATTATGAAGTGGCTTTCCTTATCTCTTGTAATGTTCTTCACTTTGAGATCTAATTTGTCATATATAAGTATTGCTACCCCAGTTTTGTTTGTTTGTTTGTTTGTTTTGTTTTGTTTTTCATTTTCATTCACCTGGAAAACCTTTTTTTATTACTTCACCCTCAGTCTGTGTGCATCTTTTTTTCTGAGGTGTGTTTCTTGTAGACAGCAGATATATGGATCTTGTTTTCTTATCCAATCCGTTACCCTATGTCTTTTGATTGGGGCATTTAATCCATTTACATTTAAAGTTATTATTAAGAGGTACTTGTTTGTCATCATTCTTATTCTTTTCCTCTGGGTTCCTTCTTTGTTTTCTATATTCTTTTTTACAGCAGACCCTTTAGCATTTCTTGCATTTCTGGTTTAGTGGTGATAAATTCCCTTAGTCCTTTTTTGTCTGTGAAGCTCCTGATTTCACCTTCAATTTTGATTGATAGCCTTGCTGGGTACAGGATTCTTGGATTCTTTCTTTGCATGACTTTTTATATTTCATTCTATGAAGAAGAATACGGTACACATTTATTGTTAAATGAAAATAAAGGAAATTTATTACCTGTATATGGTAGTATGGTAGTTGTCAACACAAACCAGACAAACTGTGAATCCTACAGTATCAAGAATTTACTCATTTATTCAATGACAATCATGTCATCATCTTCTGGAACATCATCATAACAATCTAGTTCCTGAATTTCCTGGTGAATTTCTTGTGACTCCATTTCTTTCAGAATCAGTGGACCAAATCTCTCATGTTTAGCCTAGGGAAGTAGGCTTATTTTTAGGGGGATTCCTTATATTTCACTCAGAAGGAAACCTATAAGTAGGTCTTATTTTCGGAGGATGTCTTATTTTCAGGGAAACATGGTAGCAGTAGTAATAATGCTGATTGAAACTAAAAATCTAATAATTAAAAAGGTAAAATCAGTGAGGAAAAAGGAAAAAATTGTTTATTAAGTAAAAGATGCAAAAAATGAAAATAAAATAAAAAATAAAAAATTAGCATAAAAATGTGCAGTAGTGAAGACATTCTCCTCCTCTGTTATTCTGTTTGGCATGTCTGTTTCTCAGTCTAGACAGTATTGCAGTTCTCTGTGTTCCACTGCACCTCAGTATTGTAAGCTAATCCTTATTTTTAAGTAGGCGGTTTCTTGATTTCTTGTGTTTCTTTATTTTTGATTAAGTAAAACTAATAATAAAAAGTTCAGTTTGCAATTCAGTCCCTAAGTGGCAGTATTTCTGGATTGACCCCGTCTTTTTGGCTGCTCTAGCTTTCTTTTTCAATGGCACTCAATACTGGTTTGCGGAGATGGGCTGCCTCCGAGCTGGCTCCCAGATGGTCTCTCCCTGCTTTGATCCCTAGTTTCCAGTAAAGCACTTTCCCCCTGCATTCTCCCAGGGCATGCCAAACTGGGTGGTCTTTGCTTGGTAATCAGAAGCAAGAGTATTAAGGGGGAAAAGCCCAGGTGTGCGAAAGATGGGTCTGTGCACAAGTTCAAGCAGACTGCACACCTTTCAAATTCTTATGCTCTCCCTCCATGTCAGATCAGAATTGGTTGCTTTTCAGAGATCCCTTCTGTTAGCAACCTTGAGGACCCTTCCACATTCACAGATCATGCCAGACCCAACAGCTGGGGACTTTTGTGGGCACAGACTTCCCCAGTCCTCAGGGTTTTGCAGAGCAGGCTTTTCTCTCTGCCGCCGCTGCTGCCTCCACCTCTGCCAGGACCCAGATACCTCACGTTATCCCTGGAAAAATCTGACTTTTCCATGGTGGAGTGAAGAGCTCCCTTGAATCCATGTGTTTGTGCTGATTGGGGCCTCACAGCTGTTCGGTGGTCTCCACAGTTGTGAGTTTTTCAAGCCTCAGATAAGATCCATTTTTCCTTGCAAGATGGAGTAGTTTTCCCTCTGAGCCCGTAGCTCCAGGAGAGGTCTCAGTCACAGTGCGGGCTGCTTGGTCACCCTTTCCAGCAGTCCCTCACCTTCTCTTAGAGTTCTGCTATCCCTAAGCTTGCCAACAAACATTCCCTGAGCGACTCTCAGGCGCTCCTTCTATCTGATCCGGGACTAGGATCGGAACATGTCTGTCTATTCTGCCACCATTTTTACCTTCCCATTCCCCTTGTGACCTCATAATTTATCCCCACACTGACCCTCTCCCAAACTCTTCTCCAGTGCTTCACACATTTCTAGGCCTGTCACATTAAAATTTCCCTTTCTGTAAATGTCAGAGGAATGACATCATCATCGCAGAAGAGGCCCTGTCACGGGCATTCAGGTGTGGCCTGTACTCTATCCAGTCATCACTAAGACCTCTATCTGGTCAAACTCTTGGCCTGATTGTTTGGTACCTGGAGTTCCACACTGGAGTTATTTATTTTCTTCTTGCTCCTTATTTTGTCCATCTCTCTATATGCCTTACTGACCTCTGCCTGTGGTACATTGCCTTGTCCAACTTAATGGACTTCTGTTTTGATCAGTACATCTAACATATAACCCAACCAAACTGATCCCAGTTCTTCCTGCTGCCTGAAGCCCAGCCAGCACCTGACCTCACCACCCTATTTCCACTTGAATGGCATGCTGGAACAGTGAAAAGATGGCCAGGTTTTTCCCTTTCTGCAGAGATCAAAGTTGACCCAAAGAAGGAAACCATCGTGGTCACTGGAATCAAGAATTATAGATCTGGCCGAAACCGGTTTGGCTCAGTGGATAGAGCGTCAGCCTGCAGACTGAAAGGTCCCAGGTTCGATTACGGTCAAAGGCATGTACCTTGGTTGGGGGCACATTCCCAGTTGTGGGGGGGGGTGCAAGAGGCAGCTGATCGATGATTCTCTCTCATCAATGTTTCTAACACTCTATCCTTTTCTCTTCCTCGCTATAAGAAATCAATAAAATATATTAAAAAAAAAGAATTATAGATCTGATATTTTCTTAACAACAGAGAAAGAGGGAGAGCCTCTGACTTAGCTTCCACAGCTAAGCGTTGGAACTGGACCATGGACAAGTGGTAAAGGTGGTGAGAGGGTCAGGGAGGGCAGGCAGAGGCCATTTGCAAACAGCCCAAGCAGGACCCATCTTTGCAAGACACAGAGCATTCCTATGGTAGTCCATATCCTTTCCTCTAGATATACAAAATGTCCCTCTCATTTGAATGCCAAGTGATTGGAATAGTTACTATTTCCAACCCACAAACTTAAAGTAGAAAAGTTAAACCCATGTGGCCTGAAGGGAAAGGGATAAGCTAAAAAATATACTTTTACATGATCCCTTAATAGCTGAGTTCCAAATGGATACCTTTAAAGCCATGTACTGAATCCACTCACCTGAGAACAACGTACTTAATGTTTATTGACTTTAATTGAAGATCCTTCTTAAACAGAAGCAGATATATCGCTGGACCAAACTTAATTCCACAAAAGTTTTTGCTTCCTATTAATTTTACAACAGTACTGCTTTTTACTCAGGTAATAACTATGCTTAATTAGAATGTTATTTTAAGTAATGGTCTCAAGTTATAGCTACATTGTAAATTTTTACTGCCAGAGTACTTTAAGCAAGTATGTGTTTCAGATTCAAAACTGTCTTACAAACTGTCCAGTTTCTTACAAAACTATCCTCTGGCTCAGTGTCACATAAAACCAGCTTAAAGAGGCACTGAACCACTGTTCATGGCTGATGAAATATTGAAACACATATTAAAAATTATTTCTCTAACTACAATTAAAATTGTAGCAAGCTGGAAGTTCAGAAACTGTAAATGCCTGGCCAGTCAGCAGCAGTGCTGAGACAGAACTGTAGAATAATGACAGTGCTCTGCGGGGAAGGAAATGAGTGGTGGTCTAGCCTGGGGGATGGGCAGCTTTTTCTGATGACTCATCTTTCTCTTCCAGCAGTTGGGATGCAGTCGCAGCTGGTCATAGTTTTCACTTTGTAAACGTTCCTTCGTGATACTTCAGTGTTGCCACCTGGGGATAGCAAAGGAAGGAAGGCAGAATTATGAATTGGCAGGTTTTTTTTTAGTTGTTTTGAGAACTAGAAATTCCACTTAACAAATTATTTTCCCCCAAAATAGATGTATAAATTTTAAGACAATGAAACTAGGCTGTGTGAGGGTGTTTTTTAATACAAAAATCTGAGGCAGTTAGTATAATTTTTTAAGCAAAGAAGTAAAAATAATATTAGACTGCTAACAAGTATTCATTCAACAAACTTTAACTAAACACCTACTACTCTGCTGGGTACTGGGGATACAGAGATGCCCAGAACTAGTGCTGTGTCTCAGAAGCTCACTGTCTCATGAAAGCAGACATATACTCTTAAATAACTAAAATACCACTGGATCAGGACATTAGAAGAAAGTGTCAAATGATTTACATAGGGGAAGCCAGCTACGCTTCTAGTCTTTCTTGAATCTTCTTATTTCTCTCTCCATCCTAACTATCTCTTAAACATATCTGGGGCTTGCAGGCAAGTTTGTTGGGCACTTTTGTTCTAGTTCAGTGACTTGGACAGCCCCCTCCCTTCAAGGCCCAGGTGCAAACAGGTTCCCCACGGAACCCTTTCTCTGGGATGCAGCTGGAGCTCTTCCAACCCATTTCTATTTGATGTCTCCAGAAGATGTTCAAGAGTTATTATTTGTGCTTATTTTATAATCTCTCCCCGACATAGTGATATAAAAAACCATTATGGAAATTTATCTGCCTTTGAGCATTTCAAACCACGTTCACCAATAGACTATAAGCTCTCTGAGGGCAAGAACTATTCCTACTCTCCTTTGCACCCACAATGCTGAGCAAAGCCCTTGCGTGAGAGTGTGCACATGGATTGTTCTGTTTCTGTGGCCTCTTCATCAGCTCTTGGGTCTCTGTGCATCTCCCCCGCAAACAAACATTCAGGTGTGCGGCACTGTCCTTCAGACGTTCTCCTTGTCCTTCTAGGATCACAGTACCCCATTTTTCGCTGTGTGCACAGAAACACTCATGAAGAGGTTCCCGAGAGCTACTGTGACTCCAGCATGAAGCCGACCCCTGAGGAAGAGCCTTGCAGCATCTTCCCTTGCCCAGCCTTGTAAGATGTTCTCTCCGCTTCCATCTCTATTATCACATCACTTCTAGTTGCTTGAGCGAAGGACCTTGGTAGCACATATAATCTCATTTTTAAATCAGTCTACATCTGATTTAGAAACATGAGACTTGATCTTTGCATAAGATGTAGTCTGTTTAGCAAAATCACCTATCTTTCCGGATCATCACAGGAACCTGTAGCCTTTAGCAGGTCAGCATACTCCCAGGAGCCCACCATTTGGGGATTTAGAGCAATTAGGGTTTCACCTGGCAAGGAAAAACACAGAGGGAAACAGAGAACTACAATCCAGCATAGTCAGTGCCATAGGAGAGCTGTGTACAGAGGGAATGATGAAAGGCACACTACATCTGCCTGGAGAAACCAGAAAGAGCCCCTAAGAGAGGCCTTGGACTGGCTCTTTAATGACAAGTAGGACACTTTCAGAAGATCATGGGGACAGGGCCCAAAAGGTGTCAAAACTTAATTCTCAAAGTAATAAAAACATGTTTTCATCCGAACACCTGATGAGCAGGGTGGCACAAGAGGAAATATGAGACTGATGTGTAATTAGCTCATGAAAAATAAAGAATGCTGGGCTAAGATTTCTAAGTTAGTTCCAAAATGGGTTAATGGCCTATAGGTTAATGAAACTAAACTTTGGAGTTTGTTTTTTGTTGGGTTTTTACTAGATAAATTTGTACCTTGTCATTTTTCTTAAGTTGCATATACTCACTGGCAAACAGCATGTTAATTTCTTTACAGAGTCAGGTAGCCCTTAGGTAGACTAGTAAGCAATGCCCTGGGATTCTGATGGTTCTGTGTGAGTCAGCTGAGCTCCTGCCCTCTTCCTGCCGACTGAAGTGATCTGTCCCTGTCCCTCTCTCCTTGAGCCAGTTGGGACATCGGGGAGTGGTCAGAGTGCAGCAAAACCTGCGGCCTCGGCATGCAGCATCGTCAGGTTCTGTGCCGCCAGGTGTACGCCAACCGAAGCCTGACAGTGCAGCCCTACCGCTGCCAGCACCTGGAGAAGCCCGAGACCACCAGCACCTGCCAGCTCAAGATCTGCAGTGAGTGGCAGATCCGGACAGACTGGACCTCGGTACGTGGAGTTGGGGGCTTTGCTCTGGAGCACCCCCTCCAAGGCCCACACTTCCCTCCTGCCTCCCCCTCTGAGACCTGACTTGGAAGGACCCTGAGTTCTCCGGGAGAGAACCTGCCTGCGGGATCCGGGCAGCCACTTTTATAAACCTTATCTTGTGTCCATAGCCAGTGTAGAGCGCTGGAGAGCCCAGAGGAGCCTTGTGCAAAAGCTCTCATCTCTGTGTGTCACAGGGAGGGAAGGCTGGCAAATTCTGGTAGAGATGTCTCCTCCCCCATCTTCTCTTCCATTTTCTAGATGACAGAACAGAGGCTCAGATGGACAGAGTAGGCAAGATATCAAAGAAGGTCTTGGCGAAAGGGTTTGTGAAATGATCAGGGCTGGGATTCTCCTGAGGTAGCATTGCAGGCAGGGGACCTAGCAGCACAGGGTGTCTTCCCAGACCTCTGTTTAAAGGGCAGGTAACAAGAAGAAGGTCGCCCAGACCTGATGTTGCCCACCCGCTGACTTGCTTGCTGTGTTGCAGTGCTCGGTGCCCTGTGGAGTGGGGCAGAGGACCCGAGATGTAAAGTGTGTGAGCAACATTGGGGACGTGGTTGACGACGAGGAATGCAACATGAAGCTCCGGCCGAATGACATTGAGAACTGTGACATGGGGCCCTGTGCAAGGAGCTGGTTCCTCACTGAGTGGGGTGAGAGGGTGAGTGTGGCCGCAGCCCAGTGGGTTTTCTGGAGTGGAGAGAAGAAGGGGAGAAGAAGGGTGTCGGGAGGGGATGAGGGAGGCTGGGCTAAGGGTGGGAGCGGGTGTCACAAGGTACCCCAAAACCATACAAAGAGGAATTACTAGCCAAGCATCCCAAGGGTAATTTCTGACTCTAGGGGAAAGGCCCATAAATGAACAACTGCCGGCTTTCTATCCTTCTATGAATCTCCACAGTGCTTCCAAGCTATCTTGTGCCTCTGGATGACCCGGGCACCTTGTTACACAACACAGAATCTGGACAGAGGAGGTGGGCTGGCCTGGATCCTGCATGTCTAAGGAGCTCTCAATGGCACCAAGGCTGTAGGCCTTAGGAGATACTCCTGAGCTCCCAATCCTTCCCCCGTGTCATGTGAACAGTACAGTATCTCCAGCTGGGAGGAGGAAGGGGCACATCGGAGGATTGGGGCCCATCCACCCTGTTGGTTGATTCCATCTTGCCAGCACCAACTCTGACTGGTCAGTGCCCACCAAGGACCAGTTGCTGAGTATTCTGAACCTGCAAGTGTTCACATGGGTTTCCTTCACAACCTTCCTCTCAGCACAATGAAACAATCCACGCCAGTAGGAGTACTGTTGAGAAGGAAAGGAAAAACAAAGATGTAAATGCAGCCTTCACCCCACATTCAGAGATCCTCTCAGAGATTCCCATCAGGTGGGTTTATCTCCTCATGGTTTCCTGTCACCTTGTGGCAAACAGCCCCTGCCCCTTAGTCCCAAGACAGTCCCCAGAGAGAGAGTGCCTTTCGCGAAAGCACTGAGCCCTTAGATGAGCAACTCACCTTGCCTCCAGGCCCAGCCCTGGACTCTAGCAGGCACCAAATTAGCCATCAGGAAAGTGCTAGCCAAAAGCGTCCATTGACTCAGACCTCTGCCCCTATGGCTGAGTCCAGCAGAGCTCGCCCAGTTCTGTTTGCGTCCCTCCCTTCCCCTCCTAGCAAGCACATGGTTTCTGGCCTTGCAGAAGCAGTGCTGGGGTGTGTCAGGGGTCATTTTGTGCACCTCCCTTGCAGAATAAGGAGTCCTTGATAGCATTCCTGGAGTAAATCTGATCCCTTTGTCAGAAATTCCCCGTGTGTTAAGCCAATGACGTCTGCTTCTTGTACAGCCCAGTGTCAGGTTTCCTTCCACATTGAACCCAGGTTTTTCTTGCCAGCTCCCAGTATGTCCTGTCAGAAGTGCATACACTGTCCTTACACTGCAGATTCACAGATACTGGGGAGCCCCTTCCACTTTTTCTCCAGGCTAAAAATTCCTACTTCCTTCAACTGATTTTGTCTTTCCAGATTTCTAGCCAGAATTTGTTTGTACTAAGAATAAACCTGCCTAATTTAGTGTATAAGCAAATTAATGAAAACAATAATACTGGGCCTTCTTTTTATATTGGAAAGATGTTTTTCAAAATAGTTCATTTTTATGCTCATACAGTAATATAAACTATTATAAAGGATATGAAAAGAATCTCAAAGTATACCTATAAACTCTTCAATCTAACAATTTAAGAGTTTAAGCTACACTGACAAGCTTTTTTCTACTCATACATACTTTTCATACATAGTATTTTGTATTCATATATATGTTTTAAGGACATAATAATAATATATGTATAATTTGTTAACCTGATTTTTTTTACTTTTCTATTGTAAACATCTTCTGGGATTAAAAACCTTGAAAGTATTTTTTTTTTATTAGAATAAGCTATTGTATGATTATTACAATTGAACTAATAATGCCCTATTTCTAAATTATTGAGGGCATTTTCTTACTATTTTTAATAATATTTCAGTAAATATCCTTTTTTTTATTATTTCAGATAGGAAGGGAGAGTGAGAGAGAGAGACAGAAACATCAATGATTGGAGAGAATCATTGATTGGCTACTCCTGCACACCCCACACATTAGAAATAGAGCACACAACCCAAGCTTGTGCCCTGACCGGGAATGGAACCATGACCTTCTGGTTCATAGGTCAATACTCAACCACTGAGCTCAGTAAATATTCTTATGTATAAATCTTTATATGCACTTTTCTTTGTTTTCCTAAAATAATGTTTAGGAAGTAGAATTATTTGACCAAATGCTATGAACTCCTTTATTTATTTATTTATTAATTTTCTGTGAACTCCTTTAGAACTCTTGATATATTTTGGCAAATTTCTCTCCAGAGAATTATTTCAATTTAGAATCTCCCAAACAGCAACTGAGATCACTTTTATAATTATTTTATTTCAGTGGTTCTATACTGTTTTTAATTCCTTCTCTCTACATTTGCCAGGCTCTGAGAAAAGCATTGGGCTCAGAATAACTTGGGTTCAAAGAAAAAAGCAACTACGTGGAGGAAAACTACAATGCTCCATTCCTCTGTGTGTCTCCCATATTTCCTTAGAACAGTAAAACTCTATAAGTAAATTTACAAGGAATTCCACACTAGTTATTTTCTCTCCAATAAAGACCTCTGCTTTGTATTTTAACATAAGTACTTGTTGGATCTAACAATTGTCTTAGAATTTCAAATAGAGCGAAGAATGAGTACTTTACTAATATTCTTCTATTTAGAGAACATTTTTGCTTTTTTGGAAAAGTTGGGTTAAGCCATGTAAGTATCCTGTGTATGATATAAGTAAGGTTGCTTATTGTCTCCCAAAATAGATCATTGCTCCTGATTATTTTGAGTACATGAATGGGAAGGGTTACTATTGTGTTTAAGAGAGAGGGAATTGCTATTGGCACCCTTTCCCCAAGAATTATTTCTTACTAAGAGGCCTGTTGCACGAAATTCATGCAAGAGTATGGCCTTCCTTCCCCTGGCTGCTGGCACCAGCTTCCCTCTGTACCTAGTACTCGGGCTTCCCTCCCAGCCCTGGCTTTGTCCAGAAGGACGTCTGGCCTAATTAACATATTACACTTTTATTATTATAGATTATTATAGATGAGACCTTAAGCAAGCTGCTGACTCCCTGCCTCTCAGTTTCCTACTCTGTAACATTGCTGAGTGAACATGAAGGGAATGACCTTTCAAACTAGGACCTAGATGAGACTGGCATGCTAGGAGGGTTTCCTGTGGGCGCTTTCTTCTTCATATCAGCATGAAGTTTCCATCAAAACCCAAACTGATGGGGTTCTGAAAGCCTGGGGTTAGTGAACTCGTGGAGATGGGGGGAGAGTGATGAACTTAGAGAGGGCATGGAAACTCGGCACCCCTTCCCACATACCTTTCCCTGTGCTTCTCTTCCATCTAGCTGGTCCTGGGTTATATCTTTGTATAATAAACTGGTAAAATGTTTCTCTGAGTTCTGTGAGCTGCTGTAGCAAAGCAAACAAACTGAGAAGAAGAGTTTTAGAAACCTCAGACTTTTAGCCAGATGGTCAGAAGTACAGGTAAAAAACTGGACTTGGGATTGGCTGCTGAAATTGGGGGTGGGGTAATTGCCTGTGGCATCTAATGCCATTTCCAGGTAGTGTCAGAATGAAGTTGAATGGCAGGACACCCAGCTGGTGTCGAAAAATGGCTTGATGGTGTGGGGACCCCCACACACACACACACACACATTGAAATTGGCACCAGAATACCAAGAACATCCTGTTGTCCAATTTAAAATTAATTGGTCTCTGCCTAAATACATTGAGATTGTAAACTCAATCTGAACCTTCTCTTAAATGTTTAAGGTAATATGTATAGTTTTTCTGACTTGATGACTCACCTTAAAAACATCCTTGCAGCTTCTTTTAAAAATTTTATCTTTATTGTTGAAAGTATTACAGATGTTCCCCTTTCTCCCTATTAACCCCCTTCACCCTACACCAGCCCCCACCCAGGCCTTCACCACACTGTTGCCTGTGTCCATAGGCTATGTATATATGTACTAGTATATAAGTTATTTAGCTATTTTTAATTGAGATTGGGGCTTATTAGATGCAGGCATCATTTGCTTTTTAGTTCTGCAAATCAACAAGTTTAAACATTTGTACAGTTTTTAATCACAACAGAGAAAAAAGTCTTCTAGAAAGTCCACCAGCCTCAATTTTCACCTAAATTATCACCTAATTACTAAGTATGTTTTCCAAGAGAAGAAATAAGTAAAGATATTGAGTTAAATTGTGAAAGATGATGCATAAAACTGAAGTCCAGATATAGTCATTAGAACCTTACAGTGTCTCAGGACCACTTGGGCCAACTTTAGCATTTTGCTATTGCTAGGGTGAGAAGATAATCCTTACCAGAGGGTTGCTTAGGAATTCCTGTGTCTCTGTGTTTTAGCTGTGCACAAGTTCACTTAGGAGTCAGGTTCTTTTCTGAAATGGATTTGGTCCTTCTTTTCTGAAGTGGATTTGGTTTTTCAGGGTCAGTAAATGGGGGTGTTTTGGTGCTTCACTTTGAAGATTAGTCTCTGCTGGCTAGTAAAGACCCCTTCATCCCCTCATTTCTACTGAGAGGCTTCCCTGGTCAGGTCCTGTGTGGGTAGCTCCTTTTAAATATAAATTGGTTGTGCTTTTCACTGCAGCTTCGGCAGGGCTGATCCTTGTGATGTTCTCTCACTGAGCATTGACTTGGCCCTTAGCATTACTCTTTTAAATTAAGTGCTCAGAGATATGGGGAAACTTTTCTAAGATGCATGTGGTTTTCCCAAGATTACTTGGATTGGAAAGCAGATTTCTAATAACAATGCAGTTAAAACAAAAGTTGTGAAAAGCATTTGTGAACCTGTAAGGGAGATAAAACTTTTTCTTTACTCTCTTAGGTACTTTAATGGAGGGTTGCAAATTAAGCTAACAGTAGCCAGATTAATATGAGAAAAGCATATAAATTTTATCTGATGTTATTGTGTTTTATATGGCATGGGGATAGGGAGGAGGGAACTTCATAGGAAATAAATGAAAATCCCAGAAAAGCAGTTAGATTTGAGGGATTATGTAACATTTTAACAAAGGGTAATAAATTGTGAAGTGACTAGACAAAGGATAGGGGATTGGCTTCTGGGAATAGTAAATTGTAGGAAAATAGCTGAAAAATATATGGGGAAAACTAACGGAAGATAAGGGTTATAGTAAAATTTGTTTATGCAGACTTGTCTTGATTCCCCATCATCCATAAGAATGTTCTCTTATTCCTGAAACTGGTAGGGCATTCTCAGGGGAATGTATGCCCTGCTTCTAGGCTGAAAAAGGGAGGGCAGAGAGCTCTTTCTGCATCTGCTATTTCTTTTTTTCCCTTTTTTTTTTTTTTAAATATATTTGTATTGATTTTTTACAGAGAGGAGGAGAGAGGGATAGAGAGCTAGAAACATCGATGAGAGAGAAACATCGACCAGCTGCCTCTTGCACACCCCCTACTGGGGATGTGCCCGCAACCAATGTAGATACATGCCCTTGACTGGAATCGAACCTGGGACTTTTCAGTCCACAGACCGACGCTCTACCACTGAGCCAAACCAGTTTCAGCTGCATCTGCTATTTCTTAATTGCCATGAGCTCAAAATAATCAATAGGCCAAAGTAGCATATTTTGGGGCATATTCTAACCACTTATGAGCTCTTAGCTCCAGAGTTCCCTCCCTGAGGAGTCAGACTCAGTTTAGCAGTGGTCATGTAAATGTTTGATACTCATCCTGGGTTATGATTTTACAAGATTAAATAGCAAGTTACAAAAACAAAAGTAGGATTTTTTATAAGGAAATGAGGTTATTAACATTTTGTTCCTTTTCTTAAATTTTATTTAAAATTATATTGCTTTTATTTACTTTTAAAATGATGGTGGTAGAAACCAAACACTGACTCTGTTTTTAAGAAAAGTCCCACCAGAAACCCCTAGAAGGGCTTTGGTTATAACATTTAGGCACTTTCAGAATTGGAAGGTGCTGATGAGAGAATAAAATTGAGTGGGAGAGGACCCCCATCATATTTATTTCTGATATTCAGGGATTTGCCCATAGGTGAAGTGCTCACTGAAAATGAAGTAAAGGTGATGTAGGCATTGAGCCTACTTACATAATGAGAAAAAAATAAATGGACACAAATAACCATAATACAAAGGATGACAGCAGAATACAGATGTGTCAGAGCACAGCTGCACTGAGTCCACATATTCTTCTGAAACCTACCCTACTTTATTAATTGTAGAGGCCAACCTCCTCTGCCCAGGCTGGACCTTCTTGGACTCCATGTGGTAGAAGGAAAGACCATGAGAAGTTGTGGGTGTATAAGAATGAGTCTTTAGTTAGGAGCCAGTGGCCATTGCTAATAAGGAGCCATCACACAAAACAGTTGTTCACAATAGTCACATACAGGCAGCCATATAACAATACATCTTTCCTACAAAGCAGTAGTAGCCTTTGTACCCACAGACTTACCTAGCAGCAGCACTGAGCTCTCTCTGTCCCAGTAGCCTCTCTAGCATAGCAGCAGGACCTGAGCTCTGAGCTCTCCTAAGTAGCCTCTTCAGCTTCTCCCTACCACACTGGATGGCCAATAATATATATTATACTACTCAGACAAAGGAAGCTTCTTGCCACATAGTGACCTTGCTGTGCATTGGCATAGTCCTTGGACACCCTGATTAAGATTCCCATGCTCAGAGTGGCCTTGGCCATCTGGTATACTCTAAACAAGGCTTTTCATACTCCAATTGGCCTTGAGCATTCTGCGGATTCTGGCATGGTTCCCATAAGATATCATGGGAATTCTAAGGATGGGAAGTATCTATTGAACTGGGAAATCAGGGACGCTTTCACAGAGGAGATGGCACTTGAGCTGAACCTGAGCAGATTTTGAGTGTCCCATGGAAGGGCAAGAGTGCTCCAAGCAGAAGGAACAAGGTGCTAGGAGCATTTCGTGTGGCCAGGGAATAGTGAACCTTGGCTCTGTCCAGGGTAGTCAGTGATTTTCATATATTACATCTAACTATTCGGCCCCTATGATTGTTTTAGAAGTTCATATTGTGATAATGTAGAAGTTACTATAAAGGAAACCAGTGTGGCCTGGCTGATGTGGTTCAGTAGTTGAGCATTGACCTATGAACCAGGAGGTCACGGTTCGATTCCCAATCAGGACACATGACTGGGCTGTGAGCTCCATCCCCACTGTGGAGCATGCAGGAGACAGCTGATCAATGATTCTCTCTAAGCATTGATGTTTCTTTGGCCTTTCTCACGTTCTCCCTTCCTCTCTAAAATCAATTAAAAAAATTTTTAAAGAAAAATAGTGTGTTCCCAGTGTAGTCTAGAAGAATGGAACCATATTTTAGGGAACATTTAATGCCATTTAGGGGCAGTGCATAGTGAATGTCATTAGGAATGGACCAGCAACAGAAGGACTTCAGCATGGATATACCAGCACTTGGAAGTCCAATGACAAGAAGAGCTGGTAAAGCTGAGTGAGAAGCTGCGACCACAATCCAAGGGAAGAACATCAGGGTGCTGGGAATAACTGCAGCAGCAACAAGACAGATAAATGTGCTTAAACTAGAATCTATGAGACCTGCTAGCTGGCGAGATGTGGGAAACCAGGAAGCCAAAGAGCAGTGGGTTGTGAATCCAGATATGCATTTGAAAACACATTGGAAAACCCAGAGGAGAAATAAGAATGATGATGAAGGTGATATCCAGTCATTTCACCTATTGGACATGAGGTATTGATGGGACACCCACACCAAGATGCCCTGAAAATATAGGATGAGAAGCAAAAAAAAAAGGCAACATTCTGAAGTATTACAAGGCAGATGGGAAATGCTCTCAGAGCTTCAGAGTATTTACTGTGTCCTTGGTGAAGACAGAGTGAGATTGTAGTAATGACAGTTATGTAGCTTTAAGTGAAGGCTTAATCCTGTGAGCTTTGATTTCTCTTATCAGATTAATAATGCAGATTTTTTTCAATAGATAGAGTTACACATATGTTGATGCATATGTGATTTTATATGTATGCTATTTTGTTGTATTGACAATAAGCTTCAACACTTCATACGCCAAATTTCCTGAAGGTATTAACATCATAGATATTTTTACACTTAAAAATGTCAAATTTTATGCCAAGAAAAGAGCATTTGCAGCAAATTATAATTCATTAATTTATGTTGAAGAAAAGTGCTGCTGAAAATGATCATATACTTCAGGAAGCTTATGGTGAACATACTCCATCTCAAGATACTTGTGAACACTGGTTTAAATGCTTTAAAAGTGATGATTTCCAAGTGAAACACAAAGTACATACCGGTCAACCGAAAAAGTTTGAAGACCAACAATTACAAGCATTATTGAATGAAGATGTATGTCAAACTAAAAAATAACTTGCAGAAAGATTAAACATTGCTTAACAATTTCTAATAATTTACAAGCAATGGGAAAGGTTTTAAAGGAAGGGAAATGGGTGCCACATCAACTGAACGAAAGACAAATAGAAAACTGAAAAGTCATCAGTAAAATGTTGCTTCAAAGGCACAAAAGAAAGTCTCTTTTGCATCGAATTGTGACTGGCAATGAAAAGTGGATTTATTTTGAGAATCCCAAATGCACAAAATCAAGGGTTGATCCAGGTCAACCATTAACATTGACTGAAAGGCCAAATCGCTTTGGAAAGAAGACAATGCTCTGCGTTTGGTGGGATCGGGAAGGTGTGGTATATTATGAGCTTCTAAAACCAGGTGAAACCATTAATACTGATCACTACTAACAACAAATAATCAATTTGAACCACACTTTGATCGTGAAATGACCAGAATGGGCCAAAAGATGCAGCAAAGTAATTTTGCTTCATGATAACGCACCATCACAAACTTCAAAACCAGTTAAAGACATGTTAAAAGATCTTGCCTGGGAAGTATTAACCCACCCGCTGTATTCTTGCTCCTTCAGATTATCACTTGTTCCAATCAATGGCACATGCACTTTCTGAGCAGCACTTCAAAACATATGAAGAAGTGGAAAATTGGGTCTCTGAATGGTTTGCCTCAAAACAAGAAAAGTTCTATTGGGACGATATCCACAAATTACCTGAAAGATGGGGAAAATGTGTAGCAACTGATGGACATTACTTTGAATAAAGTACTTTTGATTTCTCTTGAAATTATTGTGTTTTCTTTGATTACAAAATTTGTATTATTAACCAATACACTTAGTAGAGTAGAGATGTAGGTCTTGGCCTTTTAAAGCCCCGCAATACCATTATTGAGTACCTACTGCATGCATTCATTGAGCACCTCCTCTCTACATGTAATTCACTCCCTGTAATACTGTCAGGACTGTGTTCCCATGCCAATGATCAAGGTAAGCATGCCAGAAGTGAGAGGCTCAGGTCACTTGCCCCAGGCCACATAACTGGTAGTGATATTAACACCAATATGACCAGTTCCCAGTCCAGGCTCTTCCTTTATACCAGGCTGCATCCTGATACACCGTCACAGCTGTGTCCTTTATGGACTAGAACCATGTGCCTTAATATTAGGCAGCATTGTTGAGGTGACACACACCAATTCTCCTCCTTCCTCAGATCAGTCCAGACTCACTACCAGTTTGTAGACATGTGCTTACGTTTTCACATTCTTATTCTTCTTCTGCTGAATATATTTTTGAAAGCCAAAGCCAGAACAGATAGTCTGACAAGTGCAAGCATATCAATCACAACCAAAAATTCTAAGGCCAGGGATATGCAATACTGATGTCTCATGATGGAGCAGGCCATGCGTGAGAAGTGGTCAGAATTTTCCAGGGCAAAGAATTGGTGGGGAAACATGCTGTTCTGGAATCATTTGAATGTGGCTCAGAACCTGGGTGGAGAGGCCTTCCCTCTACTGTGTCCATCTTCTGTCTTACAGTGTTCAGCAGAGTGCGGGGCTGGAGTGCGGACACGCTCGGTGGTATGCATGACCAACCACATCAGCAGCCTGCCTCTAGAGGGCTGTGGGAACAACCAGCCAGCAGAGGCCACTCCGTGTGACAATGGGCCTTGCATGGGCAAGTTGGAGTGGTTTGCTGGGAGCTGGAGTCAGGTAAGTAGCCACAACTGGGTGTGTCTGCCTATCCCTAGAAGAAGCAGCATAGCAGAGGGGTTAGGAACTGGGCCTGGTATGTCTACGTTTGAATCCCAGTTGTGTTACTTATGACCCTGAAGAAGTTGCTTATGCTCTTGGAGCCTCATTCAGTCAACACTATTTACTGAGCATTTATTATGTTCTCTTCTAAACACTTGAACACAATAAAAATTCCTGCCCTCAGGGAAGATCATGGTGTAGTATGGTTTCTTTGTCTATAAAATGTGGGTAGCGATAGAACCTGAGAGGTTATTTTTAAAAGAAATGAAGTAATGTATTCTAAGTATGTAGCACACAGTGCCTGACATAAAATAAATGTACAATAAACCACAGCTACTGCTGCTATCATTGTTAATAAAGCCAGTTTGATCTGAGTTTGAGTATCAGAAGCAGAAATAAATATGACCCAGAAATCCTATCTCTAGAGGTATAGCCACAGGAAATAAAATCATTATCTCAAAAACATATCTGCACTCTTATGCTCAAAGCAGCATTATTCACAATAGCCAACATATGGAAACAACCTATGTGTCCATCAACAGATGGATGGATAAGAAAATATTCGTAGGAATATTATTCAGCATTTAAAAAAAAAAAGGGAAATCCTGCCTTTTACAACAATATGGATGAACCTGGAGGGTATTATGCTAAGGGAAATAAGTCAGACAGAGAGAAAATACTGCATGGTATCAATTATATGTGGAAAAAGCAAACTTATAGAGGGTAGAATGGTGATTTCCAGGGGCTGGGCTAGAGGAAATGGGAAGAGAATAGTAAAACTTTCAGTTATTAGATGAATGAGGTCTAAAGATCTAATGTATATCATGGTGACTATAGTTCATAACACTGGACTGTATAACTAAAATTTGCTAAGACAGTAGAACTTAAGTGTTCACACAGAAAAGAATGGTAAGTATGTGTTAACTCAATGTGGAAATCCTTTTAAAATGTATACATATACCAAATCATCAGTTTAAATACATTATAATTGTGTTTGTCAAACCTCAACTAGAGGCCTGGTGCATGAAATTGTGCACAGAGTGGGGTGGAGTTCCTTCAGCCCAACCTGCATCCTCTCCTATCCAGGACACCTCAGGGGATGTCTGACTGCCGGTTTAGGCCTGATCCCCAGCAGTCAGACATCCCTCTCACAATCTGGAACCACTGGCTCCTAACTGCTCACCTGCCTGCCTGCCTGATAGCTCCTAACCTCCCCCCCACTGGCCTGGTCACCCCCAACTGCCTCCCCCTGCTGACCTGGTCACTTCCAATTGCCCCCCTGCCGGCCTGGTTCCTCCAACTGTCCCTCCTGCCAGCCTGATTGCCTCCAATTGCCCCCCTTGCTGGCCTGGTTACCCCACACAATCTGCAATTTAGTCATTTGGTCGTCTCTCACTAAGCCCCCTGCTGGCCTGGTCACCCCATGCAGCCTGCTGTTCAGTAGTTTGGTCATCCCTTCCTAACCCCCCTGCCAGCTTTATTGTCTCACACAGCCTGTGTTCAGTCGAACATCTGGTGGTTTCGGTTGTGACGGCCCCTGACTTTTTATATATTAGGATAAATCTAGAGAAATTTTTTTAAAAAGCATAAAAAGAAAAAAATTGAGGTTGTTTATTATAAAGAACTAGATACTTTAATAAAGTGACTTAATTTATCAATTAATGTTTTCCTTACTGTGCCAAAATTGAGCATGAACTGAAAATGTGGAAAATATCATTCCCTCCTATTTCTTTGTTATGATTACCATCAATATTTTGAGTTCTTGGACCACTTAGCATTTGGCTTCCAGGGTTGGCTAGTTCTCCAAGGACTTTTTGGCTGATTATCATGATTTACACATTATTAGGATCTCTGACTCCACATATTAATAGAATTTTATTTATTTTAAGTAGCTTCATACAAAGACCCTGAAAAATGGATTGCCTTGTCCTTGTAAATTTATATAACCCCTTTGGAAAGCAATAAAATTCAAGAGCCATAAAAATGTTCATTAGTCTTCACCCAGTCACTCCACTCCTGGGGATTCATTTTAAATAGAAGAAAAAAGCCTTTTTGACAGAGATGTTTATGACAGCCGGGCAATATTTTATGGTATATCATAACTCATTAAAATAGTATGTGCAACAACAATAATTAGGAAGATGTGGAAAGTACATTAATAGAGTGGCAAGTGGAAAACAATATGAAAACCTTTGAATCCTATTATCTCAACCACTTCAAAATATAGTGTGTTTTTTTATGTAAACAACACGGAGAAATTATTTGCTCAAATTTCATTTAATGTTTTATAATACAAACTATAAAATATAAAAAAATTAAGAAAGAAAATTCAAATATGGCCAATGGTAGGTACCCTGGTAAGTATGAGTTAGACATTTTTAGTTATTTGATTTGGGGCAACTAATTTAACCTCTCTGAGCCTGTTTCTTCATCCAAACGTGAGGATAATAATACCAACTTCCTAGTTTTATTATTGGGTTTTCATGAAATGCTATATATATGGGGGTTGCACATTGCTTGAAGCACAGGAAGTACTCAATAAATATTAGTTCCTTTTTTTCCATGTTTATTTTTTCCACTAGCTGTTTCTCATCCTTTATTGGTTATAAAACACCTAGAAGGTAAACTCCAAAGATAGTTAAAAATGGAATGTACCTATAGGATGCCAAATAACGATGTAAACTGAGGCAATTGGAAGAATCCTGTGTCAAATTGTAATATCAGATCATAAGTGTACAGGTATGGTGAAGATAAGGGATGCAATTCAACTTGCATGCCTACCAATCTCAGGAGAGGAAAACATGATTCAGGGTCTTTTTTGTTTGTGGGCCTCTTGTTGACTTTAGACTTAAACTCAGAGAACAGAGTGGTATGAATCCAGGTGAAAGCAGCCTTTATTTCTGCTAAGATGAGAAACATATAATTTATTGCCCTGTTACCCACGAAAGTCAGCACATTTTTTTGCAATCATTTGTATGTTTGGACTTTTCCCTGCCATGTTATTGTGTGTTTTCCATTTAATTTTCTATTTCCATATTTTCTTGGGATGTTTTTCCTCCCTCTCTCCTTTCCACCTCTTTCCTTTCCACACATTTATATTGGTATAACTTTCTTGTTTCATTTTTTCTCTCTAACATTTTGGAAATTATAAATCTGTTTTTATTCATCCAATGACATTAGAAGAAAAAAGATTTAACACACAGTTTTAAACTTATTTTCAGTGTAATTATCAATAACCACATTCAATCTATAATACTTCCATAAAGATGTTGAGATCATCTGGATTTAGCTCCATATTAATGTTAATTAATTTTATAGAAAAATACTATTCTAGATTTTAAAATAGCCTTCTTCCCTTCAAAAGGTTATTTTTACTGAAATATAATTCACTTATAAAATTCACCCTTTAAGTGTACAATTCAGTAGTTTTTTTGGTATATCCACAAAGTTGTACAACCATCACTACTACCTAATTCCAGGGTATTTCTGACATCCCAAAAGAAACATATAGCCATTATTTATTTCTTTATTAAAATGTTTTTTAAAATATTTGTATTGATTTCAAGAGGAAGAGAGAGAGAGAGAGAGAGAGAAACATCAATGATAGCAGAGAATCATTGATTGGCTGCCTCCTGCACACTCCTTATTAGGGATTGATCCTGCAACCTGAGCATGTGCCCTGAACAGGAATTGAACCGTGACCTCTTGGTTCATAGGTTGATGTTCAACCACTGAGCCATACTGGTCGGTTACTATAGCCATTATTAACAATAGTTTTTATTGGTGACTTTGTCAACTTCTGCTTTTGTAACCTGTCTCTTCTTCCTGATTCTTTTTAATTTTGTTAGAGACCATAACCCAGTAAGTCTTTCTAATAGGATTCATAAGCCATCATTTTCTGAGCCCTTCAATATTTAAAAATGTTTTCACTTTTCCCTTTGACTTGAATGCTCCCAGTAGATGCAGATACCTTTGTTTCTTCCTTGGCAGAGTCAGTTTCCTGGTCAGTATCTTAGCTGACTACTCTCAATGTCCGAGGCCACCTCCCTCCTGCTTTTCACAGCCACATGTCCACCACCATTCTTGCCCAAAGCATTTGAGCTGCTTCCTCTTGGTTAGGAGTCACTCCTGTATGTGCACTTTGAACTATGATCTTTTCCTTCGATTTATTCTCATCTATCTTTCACCATTCAAATATTCTTCATAATTTCTGGTTCACCAAGGGTGAGTTCCTTTCCTAATTCAAATACTGTCTTGGCTCATGGACACACATATACTTACACACATCCATTCCTTTGTTCCCACACACACATATTCTGCTGTTTCTGGCCATTTAAGGTAGGAGAGGGCTGAGATATGTGCTCTTTCTCCCTTCATTACCTAATGTCTTCAAGGACTTTACAAACATAACGTAAAATCGCCTGAGGTTTTGATCAAGGTTTAGAGTCTTCTGTTTTGCCAAGTACTGGGTCTGTACCTGGCCCCTCAGAGTAGTCAAGGGTCTTTCCAGTTTCCAAACCCCTCCATTTTGCAGGTAGACAATGAAACCTGGGAAAGTGCTCTGTCATGGCCAAAGACACGGGACTATTCAGTAACAATGTTTACTAGTTTCTATGTCTCCTGACTTCAGTGTTCTGCTCCTGCTGTACCCTGGACCTTACATCCTTACTCCTCTTTTGCCTGGAAGCCTATTTCTCCTCTTCTGCCTCCAATTCTTTCATTATTTGCAGCACTTGAAAGAGAAGAACAAAACATGAATATACTGATAATGCGCCAGGTCAATAATGAACATGTTATGATGAGTATTGTTACACACAGATGAGAAAGATCACATCCAGGAAAATCCCATGTTGGATACATCATTAATACACACTGTACACACCAAATAGATAGAATACAGTCTGCTTGTGAGGCTGGGATGGTACTTAACCTCCAGCACAAGTAGATTAATTAACTCCATAACTAACTAACATGGAAGAAAATAGGAAATATAAGCTAAGAAGATTCCTGGATGCCTATGAAGATGGCAGAAAAAGACACAAAGCAAAAATTGCCAATCATGGTGCTTATTGTGCCCCATGTGACCAATTCATAGTCTATTGGCTTGGATTTTTCCATTTTCTATATAGATGTGGTTTCCCCCCTATTTTTGTTTGACCCTATACCTGACTACAAAAGCAAGGCTAATGTTAAAACTTTAGCTATAAACATTGTTAAAAGTTTTCCATAAAGGTAGTGGATTCTTTAAAGTCTCTGAAGGCCTATACAACAAAAGTTTTAAACTTTTTAATCAAGATATATCGAACGAACCAAATGTGAATAAAAAAATGCTTTACAAAGTAATAGATTTGTGCATAATTATCGATATATGAATCGTATCTTCATAAACTAACAAAATGCATCAATATATTTAATTGTCTGTCCTCTGTGCTCAGACTCAGGGAAGTGAGAGGAATGGGCCCCATGGTGAAAGGCTTCCTACTGGCCACCCTGTTGGAATGGAGGGTTGGCCATATTGTCCCAAACCTAGAATCTTCTATTCAGCTTTGTATGTCTCAATGAATTTTAACTTAATCCTTCATGCACAGGTGCACAGACTCTGAGAGATTAATTCATCCCCAGTGTTCACCCATTAGGGGACTGGCAGAAAATGAATGTGTTAGATCATTGTCAGGGGTCTATAATTCTACTGGATAGAAACAAGCAAAGTGATTGCCTGGTGTGTTCCTGTAGGTGAGTCTAAGGGGAACCATTTCAGTCTCAGCACAGAGGGCACCATGATCTCAGTGACAAGTAGCCTGAAGCCCTGATGACTCAGGACACCCATTCTCCACCCCAGACATAGAACTGTTAGGAAAATTGGAATTCATGGGCAACTTCTTCTCTAGAAACGTTTTTCAATACCCTTGGGCTCTTCCTTACTGAATTGATTATAGAAAGCATGTGCAGACACACCCTGATGGACCACCATTCTCATCTCCTGCCCATGATGTGATACCATCTTCTTCTGCTTCCTTCTTTAGTGCTCCATTGAGTGTGGCAGTGGGACCCAACAGAGGGAAGTGATTTGTGTTAGGAAGAATGCAGACACCTTTGAAGTGCTGGACCCTTATGAATGTTCCTTCCTAGAGAAACCTCCCACCCAGCAGTCCTGCCACCTGAAGGTTTGTGGAGCCAAATGGTTTAACACAGAATGGAGCATGGTAAGTCAAGGTGCTCTTGATAGAATTGCTGCTTTTAGTGCATCATTCTCCTGCTTTCCTTCCATATACACACCTGGGCCTCCGACTGGGTGCCAGGCACAGGGCTCAGCCCTCAAGTAGATTCCCTATAATGGTCTATCCAGATGGTTGCTGCCAGGGCACCCCAGATGCACTCTACTTGGTGGGTGGAGCCTAAGGCTGAGACAATCTTGATCTAAACTGCAGAGCCATAAAGCACAGACTCTTAACTGTCAGTATGCATAAGAATCAGCTGGGGCCTTGTTAGGAAAAAATGAATTCTGGGTCCACCCAGAGAATTTTGCATTTTGAATAGTCTCCTTAGGAGACTTGGATGCAAGTGTCCTTGGACCGCATTTTGAGGAGTGCTGCTTCAGAGGATTGATGGCTGAACGCATTCAAGGATGCCATTGAGAAACTGCATCATGAAGGAATTTCAGTAGGTCTCAGTAATACAGTGAGACCCACACCAGTCAGGCCTCAGTGTGTGTGTGTGTGTGTGTGTGTGTGTGTGTGTGTGTGTACACTTGTTTAAAATTCAACAGATGATATGGACTATGTATTATGAAACTGGTCCTGTTTTTCTCTTTGAATTGACTCCTAGGAAACTCAAAGCTAAAATTGTTGTCCATCTCTAAGAGAGAGTTTATCAGCCCTTACAAAAATCTATTTTTATATTTTATATTTCTTTTAACCTCAGTTTCCCCAGATCATTTTACATTTTGTAATCCTCAAAGCATTTCTTAAGCCATCTTAGATCCTTTTTGTAAGGAGGGGGGTACTGTGTGAATGATGAGAGGCAGAGAGAGTCTGAGACACAGAGATAGAGTTAATACACAAATAGGTTACTAAGAATTAAGTGGAAAAGGTTTGAAATAGTGATAACACCCTTTTCTTTCCCCAAGTAAAAGAGTTTATTTTCAAGAAACATCCTAAAACAGAAAATGTCCTCAGGGCATCATTCCTGGTGACCAAATAACAGACCTTGGACACATGGGGGTGGGATTCATTCTGCTTTGTGTCACTGAAGATCTTCAAACATGATTGTAGGTGACCCCAAAGTAGAGGCCAGAGCCTTTATCAAAATCATTCATAGGTGATAAAAAGATTTTGCTTATAAAATATATGAATAAAAGCTGAGAATTCTGCTTCCAAACAGTGTGTTAGCTCCAGTGAGAACAGCCATTTGGCATGTGGTGAACCATAGGTCAGAGGCAAATGAAAACAAAGGAGGTGTTGAGTTTCAGAGGTGTTTTTTCAACTTCTGGGAAATGAAATTTAATTATTTTGATGCTGGCCAAGCCCCTTGAGAACACAGGAACAGATCACTATTTTCTTTTACTGTTTAGTTTGAAGAGTCTAGAAAGGACCAGATTCACCAGACATTTCAAAAAAGATAGACTGTGAAAACAACTGTCTGGAAACAACCCAGATGTCCCTTAACAGGTTAATGTGGTACCTCTGAACAACAGATATTACTCAGCAACAAAAAATGAATGAACTGTTGGTACCCAAATACCATGGATGAACTTCAAATGCATTTTGCTAAATGACACCCAAAGCTACAAATTGTACTATCCCATTTATTTAATATTCTATAAAAGGCAAAACTATATGGACAGATACCAGGTCAGCTGAATCTCACCAGGGAATTTGTTGTGCCTGATGAAACTTTGACATAAATGATAATAACAAAGACTGTGATGGAACCCAGATGTCTTTGAAGATGCCTTGTTTTGTAAATTTGAGTTTATAAGTGAGTCAACATTTTATGTAATTATTAAATAAAATTTTAAAGCAATCCATAAAAATGGAAAATTAAATGAAACAAATTAACCTAAATATATATATATATATATATATATATATATATATATATATATATATATATATATATATATATATATATATATATTCAGTAGAGGCCATCGCACTATTGCATGTGGATTAAAACACAGCATTTGACTATCTATCCCTAAGGACAAAAGAACTACAGAAAAGTGTCTACATTGCTTGCAGTAATCACATTTTCAGTGATAGTTTTGTACTATATTCTGAGATAGTTGGGTGTAATGTGTAATAAAATAAATGAGTAATATACTTTATGGTAACATGATGATATGTGTGTATGATAATATGATAGTATAACTCTGTTATCCCCAGTATCCTTGAGAAATAGTGTTCTCAATTTAGGATTAAAAAGATAGGAGAGGGATTAAAAATGGCAGCAGAGCATGAGGAAGCTTACAGACATGCTCCCAGGACCAAACTGGAATTACAACTAAAATACAAAAATAAACCCCACCCTGAATAATCAATTGAGGTCTAGCTGGAGAACCCTGAAAACCAAGGACATAAAGTGGAGATCACATAGAGACTGTAAGGGTGGGGGAGGTGCAAAATAGCTAGCAGGCTCCCACAGGTTGTAGCTGAAGTTCCAGAGAGATCTCAGCTATTGGGGGGTTGCCAGTGAGAATTCCGAAGTCTAATCCCCAAGATGGGTCCCCCAGCAGATAGTACTTGAACTTAGAAAGGTATCCAGATAACACCTGTCTGTGAAAAGCAGCAAGGTTGCTGTCTGTCAGAGAGACATGGATGGAAATGCAGGCACCATCTTAAAGGGTCAACACACAACATTTTGAGTGCAGCCTCTCGCCTTGGGCTCTGGCAGAGGGAGGGCAGAGTGGACTGGAGCTGTATAACATAAGCCAGGGTTGGGAAATCTGGGGTTAGAGCTTAGAAGACAGACACCTCAGTTTCCTGTGCTGAGTTATTCCCTCATGCTATGGAAGTTATCTTTCCACAAGATAACTTCAAGCAAACTTTTGCTATTCTGTGGTTTTTGCCTGGGGTAAAGACAGTTAATTCACCCTATTGGAAAATCCCCTGCCTCACCCTGTGGAGTTTCTGAGGCCCATTAAGAGACTGAGAATAATAATTAGCCTCCAGACAGAAGCAATTGCCCCACCCTGTTTGAAAATCTCTCAACCCCACCTGTGGACAATAGCTTGGGTCTACTCCAAACTGAATCTAATCAGTCTTCAGGCAGAGGCAATTCTCTGGAGCCTTTGAGTCTTTGCCTGATCTAATTACTCAGAAACAGCAGTTTGAGTCCCTGCCACAAACACCATCCCAGTCTGCTCATTGAGGCAAAAGTCAGTGGGACCCCCAAGTACTTGCAGATAACATCTGCAGGACCAGCTCAGAACAAAGTCAATAAAGCTATGAGACTCAAGGCAGAGTCCCCAAACACTGGACTACTAGGGGATTCAACCCTTTGGACCTCAGGTTGCCCCGGGCCAGAAAGGGACAGTTACTCACATTCACCTACACTAAAGAAGCTCCCAGGAGACCCAGGATAGACATACCAAAGAACCATTCAACAACATCAGAACAAAATTCAGCAAGCCACACAAATAGTGGATCAAAAGCACCTGTATAACAGCTGACACTACAACATTGGGGTTGAACCTCACTGGCAGCAAGTCAGAGGAGAGATCCCTCCCACAAATGGGACATCAACATTCAAGTTCCAATTAAAACAGGAGATCCCAAACAACACACACAAGGGGCACCCCTAGAGCATCCAGCTTGGCAAACAAAGAGACTACACCTCTAGACCCTTTAAAACACTTTCTATACAAGTATAAGGCCATCTCACAAAGACTGGGAGCTAAATCAGTTCTATCTAATACATAGAAGCAAATACAACAAGATAGCTAAAATGGAGAGACAGGAGAGAAATCAAGAACTTGCTGCCTTGCACAACCACTTCAAAACTACAACTAAAAGACAAAATGGGCATTATCCAGAAACACAGGAAGACTGGCTGAGTGGAGATTTGGAGGAGGGACAGATGTAAAGTACAGAAATATGGAGGCGTGATAAGGGCTGGCAACTGAGTACGCTGTTGTCTTTTTCAATCAGAAGGGAGATACAAGCTCCCGACTATTCTGAACTCCAATTCTGGGAGAGACTCTGGGGACCCAGACTCATACAAGGAGAAACTGGACTATCTGGCATCAGGCAGTATTCAAGGCTGGCTTTCTCTCAGAGGTGCTTGCAACAATCATTGCTACCCTGTTTCCCCAAAAATAAGACAGTTTCTTATATTAATTTTTTCTCCCAACGTTGCGCTAAGTCTTATTTTCAGGGGATGCCTTATCTTTCCATGTGCTAGGTTTTATTTTCGGAGGAAGTCTTATTTTCGGGGAAACACAGTACTACACGGAGCCGTGAAACACAGAGACATGGGACCTCTTCCAGGCAGGGCTGACAGTCAACCATTGCTGTTTGCTCCACCTCACCCAATTTACAACTCCCAAGCTGTGCTCAAGGCTTTTGCATATGAATGGCCTGGCCCTTTGCAATCTAAAGCCTAACATACTGCATCTGGGTGAGAGAGCCCCAGAGCCTCAAAAAAAAATCCCAAGGCTTGACAGCATTTTGCATTGTTCACACCTGGGCCTCATGTGGGCACCTCCAAAACCCAAACAAAGAGAAGGAATCTGCAAATCTCTCTGTAGCCCCTGCTGGGTGGCCTCAGGCAGAGGCTAAATTAGCACCTCCTTGGAAATCCAAGAGCCAGTGTACCCAGGGGTCAGAGTAAGACCATCCAGATTACAACTCCTCAGATCCATAAGGGACATACTCAGGGAGCAGAATCAGTGAGCACCAAAGCCCCACTGAAGCAAGTCTTGCCCCATCAGGGTGTCTCAAGCACAAAAGTCCTCCCATCATAAACACAGCTGATCCTCATAACCAATTGGTCTGGAGGTCAATTCCTCCCAGTGATACCAACAACAAGTACTTCGTGCCACTTCCTCTGGCCTAAAGTGTTTCTAGTGAGAAGTCAGTTTACATTCTAATTGAAACTCCTTTGTAGGTAATTTTCTGTCTTGCTCTTGATGCCTTTAAGATTCTTATTTGTCCTTAACATTTGCCATTTTAATTATGATGGTTTTATGTGTGAGTCTCTTTGG